TCTCCGTAGAGAGAAGGGAAAAATCCTTAGCCTCAATGCATCCTCGAAGACATTCATTTGTTTTCTCCCCCAACAAGTATCCACAAACCCTTTCAAATATTTATACGCATTTTGAGTTGGAGCACCGGTGAAGAAACCACGTTGCTCAAGCAAAGTGAGCATCACATTGGTGATTTGGAAGTTTCCTGGCCTAATATGGGGAGGGACTATTGCACTAGCATAACCTTCATTGGGCAATATCTGGTGTGGAGCCGCTAGTGGTGGAGGTGGGGATGGAACGGGCACATTTTCATGAGGCGCTCGGACTCTTTGATTGGCTTGAGGTTCAAGAGGTACCTCTTCGACTTGCTCGTCCTTGCTATCCACATCCCCCAAAGGCACATTTCCAAGATCATTGTTTGCCACCATAATTATACCTAAAATTTCTCACACTAGTTAGTAACACAGAAGAAAATAGAGATATTCCAAAACAAACCCAAATATATAGCTAACATTGTTTTAACTCTCCGGCAATGGTGCCAAAAATTGATGACATCCACAACACACCTCGATAAGAGATATGATACAATCGTATGCAATATAATTTACCCAACTATGAGTCGGGGTCGAATCCACAGGGAGTTAGAAGGGGTTTTAGAAGTATACACTTAAAGAAAGAGAATGGATTAACTAAATTTGCACTTCCACAAAATGTTTTGATTTCTACATCTACTATTACTCTAACAATCGTAAGCTAAGGAAAAGAAACTAGAAATGAATGATTATTTTTTATGTTTTTATAAATAGTTAAAAAGCCTAGGGATGTGACCATAACCTAGGTGTTTGATTAATGGGTTAAAGATGTTAATACTCATTTTGTTGATTGGGGTGTATTATAGCTCTCAAATCTACGTTACCCCCTCAATATCTCTCGGTCAAAGAGTGATTTTGCGCAATTTGGCTTTCTCAAGTCCAAATGGATATCAAACAAAATAGTTGATATGAGCTCAAGTCGGGTTCTTATTATCTCTAGTTTGGACCTTTTAATTAAGGCTAATCAAATTCTCAATTAACCCAATTCCTTGTTGGCTAAGTTATCCTAGACTAGGTCCCTCTTTCTCAAGTAAAGACTAAGCCAAAAAGGCATAAATCAGTGTTTGCAACCATTAATTTTGAAATTGAAGCATGAACTAATCTAAATAATCAACACCCAATCATAAACAAGAATTAAATTAAATACCCATAAGGTTTACACACTAGGGTTGGGTCACAACCCTAGTAAGAATCTAGCTAGTCATAGTGGGAATTGAATAAAATAAAGAATAAAATATAATTAAACTCATAATCAAAGATTAAAATGATAAAATATAATGTTTAAACACTAAAATGGTCACAAACTTCCTAAAATAGCAAAATGTAACGGCTACAACAGCTCAAACTCCGAAAACTTGACCTAACATGTGAAACCCGTCTATTTATTCGCTGACAAAAATGTCCCTCGAGAGGTTCTGCGGCTGCACAATTCCATGTGCGGTCTACAGATTTCTTCAGTTGGTAGGCACTAGGATTCTACAGCCGCACATTTCTGGATTGTGGCTGCAAAGTATCTTCTACGGCCGCACAATTCTTGTGGGTCCGCACTTCAGCAAGGCGTCAGAACTTGGTCTTTTGCACACTCTCTGAACTTGGAATCATTTGTCAGTAAAAATCCTGTTTTGTGACTGCACAATTCATGTGTGGTCCGCACATTGGCCAAAGTTCTGTTGGGTGTTTTTACTTAGTTTGCGGCCACAGAAGGAATTCTGTGGTTCGCACTTTCTTTGCGGTCGCAGAAATCCTTCTGTGGACCGCACTTCTTTGATTCTACGCCTTTTATTGCTTTGTGATTCAGAACACTCCTTTTTGAGTTGGATTTCATCTTGGGAGACCAAACTTCCATCATTCCTGCAATTTGCATATTTTTGTTAGTTTCAGGAACATAATTCAATACTATCGAACTAAAATTAAAGCAAAAAGGTGTTAATAAGTAGTTCAAACCCCCACTTATCAAACATTTAAAGAGGGAGAACAATCTATTGATTCGTACATGGAAAAGATATGTGAATTTACCGATTGCCTTCATTCTAGCGGTCGTGGTGTGGATGACCTTGAATTGGTACGTTGTGCTTTGAATGGCCTTCCTGTCTCTTATGAATCATTTATTATTATGTCGTCTAATATGCGCCATCCTCCGACTTTTGCAAAGTTGTGGTCTATGCTCATTACCCACGAGGTGCGCATTCTGCCTACAAGTGATGTGGCCTCTGCTCCTCTGCCTACCGCTTTGTTAGTTGTTCATCTTCTGATGTTACTTCATCTTCTCTTGTTGTTCCATCTTCTGACCATGGTAACTTTGGTCGTTATCGAAACTACCATTGCGGGAAATATTGTCATGGTGGTGCTCTGGTCGACGAGGTCATGGTTTTTCTTCTCAACAGTCTTATGGAAGTCATTATCAGCATAATGTTCGGCAGCAGTCCACAGTTCCTCATGGATATGATAAGGGTGTTCTTGGTGCTTCCCCTATTCAAATGCCTCCATTTGCCATGCGGAACCCGACTACTCCTAAGGTTACTTGTTAGATTTATGGTATGACTGGACATACAGCTATCTCTTTCCTGCATCATCATAGTTATTCATTTTCTCCCACCACGGCTCAATCACACTTGGCAGCCTTGTCTCTCCATTCTCTGACTGACAGAAATTGGTACTTGGATTCAGGAGCGACCTCACACATGTCTTTTGACCAATGTAATATTTCTTCTCCTACTCCAACTTTTAATAATTCTACACTTGTTGGCAATGGTGAATCAGTTCCTATTCATTCTATTGCTTCTTTCTCTTTGTCCACTTCGTCTCATACTTTTCCTTGCCCTCTGTCTTATGTGTTCCACTTCTTCGTAAAAAGTTACTTTCTGTTCGTCAATTTATGAAAGATAATATTTGCTCAATTGAATTTTTTCCTTGGGGTTTTGTTGTAAAGGATTTGTAGAGGGGGAAAATCCTCCACATATACCACAATGATGGGCCTCTCTATCCATTTATCAACATGTTTCTTGCTCGTCCTCCTCTTCATCAGAAGCCCTCGCTTTCTCCTTGGTTCATGCATCAGTTTGACATGCTCGTCTTGGTCATCCAGGATCTACAGTCCTTGCATCACTTAGGTATAGGAATTTTATTTCTTTTAATAATACAGTCTTTGGGTAATTCTTTTGTAATTCTTGTTTGACTTCTAAGCATTTTACTTTACCATTTTCTATTAGTACTTCTTCTTCAACTCATGTGTTAGAGTTGTTTCACTTTGATGTATAGATGTCACCATTTTCCTCTGTTACTGGATTTGGATATTATGTTATTTTTATTTATGACTTTTCCAAGTATTTGTGACTTTATCCATTGAGTAATAAAAGCAAAGTTTTTCATTGCTTTTGTGCATTTAAAGCTCTTGTGGAAAAGCAATTTTTTGCTTCTATCAAATGTTTTCGTTCTGATGGTGGGGTTGAATTCACTAGTGCACAATTCTTGACATTTCTTTCTAGTAATGATATTATTTTTCAGCTCTCATGTCCTCACACACCACAACAAAATAGTGTAGCTGAGCGCAAGTATCGTCGTCTTGCTGATATGGCTCGTACTCTCCTTTATCATGCCAAAGCTTCGCTAAATCTTTGGGTTGAGGCTTTTCAAATAGCCACATACCTGATAAATTGGCTACTGACACCCTTACTTAATTATTCTTCTCCCTTTCGTCTTCTTTTTTGGATTGATCCTGACTACTCTATTTTACGTCTATTTGCCTACCTCTGTTACTCCAATTTGCGCCCTTATCGAATTCACAAACTAGATAATCCCTAATCTCCATGTATCTTTATTGGATATAGTTTCAATCACAAAGGATATAGTTGTCTCCGTCTTAATATTCAACGTGTTTATACAAGTCGATCTGTTCTCTTTGTCGAACATTGCTTTCCATATGCCACTCTACATCTTCTTCCTTATTTCCTTAATTTTTCTTCCTTTACTTGTCATACCTCATTGACTCAACCCTCCCGTGTTGTATCACCTACTGCAGCACACTCTAGTGCTCCCTCTTATGATGTTTTTGCTCCTCCTTCTACGTCTCAGGTTTTGCTTGACCATTCTTCTATTGCTCCTCAGAGTTCTTCCCTATTTCCTTCATCTAGTTCCACACCATCTATACATATATCTCCTGATCATTCTATATCAATTCCCTCCGCGCCTCCCACTTCACCATTGCTATCTTCTTCTCATCATATGGTTACCAGGTCAAAACTTGGTGTTGTCAAACCCAATCAAAAGTATGCTTTACTTGCTCAGTCTCTATTTGAATTACCGGTTGAGCCATCTTGTTATAGTTCTATAGCTAAGGATTCTCGTTGGCGTAATGCTATGACTGATGAGTTTGATGCTCTTCTAGCTAATCATACATGGTCTCTTGCTCATCGCCTTCAAAATATCAATGTGGTTGGTTGTAAATGGGTATATCAGGTTAAGAAAAAATTTGTGGATCTCTTGCTCGTTGTAAGGCACGTTTAGTGGCTAAAGGATATATACAATCTTATGGTGTGGACTATAGTGAGACATTCAGTCTGGTGGTTCGTCCTGCTGTTGTTAGATTGGTTCTTTCTATTGCCTTATCTCGTGGATGGTATATTCGTCAGTTTGATGTTAAAAATGCATTTCTTAATGGTTTACTAGCTGAGACTATTTATATGGAGAAACCACAGGGCTTTCGGGATTCTCACTATCCCCATCATGTTTGTAAGCTTCAAAGGCAGGCTCCTCGGGCTTGGTTTGCTCGTTTTGGCCACTTTCTTATCTCTCGTGAATTTTCTAACAGTTGAGCCGATAGCTCCTTATTTGTTTATAAATTTGGAAAACGATATTTATATCTTCTCCTTTATGTGGATGATATTATCCTTACAGGGTCAGATTCTTCGTTGTTATCATGGTTTTCTGACATGCTACATGTTGAATTTTCTATTAATGATCTTGGAGATCTTTATTTTTTTCTTGGAGCTCGTATTTATCGAACTTTTGTAGGTTTTCATCTTTGTCAAGCTAAGTATGCTAGGGATATTCTTGATCGAGCTGGTCTTATTGGTTGCAAGCCAGTTGCTACTCTAGTATCTTCTTCTACTTCTTTGGACTCTTCAGTTTCCTCTCCAGTTGAAAGCTCCCTTTATCACAGTTTGGTTGGTGCTTTGCATTATCTAACATTTACGCGACTAGATATTTCTTATGTTGTTAATAGTGTCAGTCAATATCTGCAATCCCCTCAGCCTCATCATTTTTTAGCGGTCAAACGCATTTTAAGGTATGTTGCTGGTACATTGCATCACGGTCTTTTGTTACATCCTTCAAATTCTATCTCATTAGCTGCTTACATTAATGTTGATTGGGCTGGTTGTCCTGATATATACTCGATGCTCTACCTCTGGTTCTCTTTTATTTTTTGGTAATAATCTAATCTCTTAGTCTTCTAAGAAGCAACACACCGTGTTTCGCTCTAGCACAAAGGCCGAATATCGCGCCATGGCATACACTGTTGCTGATACTCTTTGGGTTCAGCAGTTATTGTGTGATCTTCATATTTATCTTCCGGACCCTCCTCTTGTTTGTTGTGACAATATTAGTGCATTATACTTGACTGTGAATCCTATCTACCATTCACGGGCAAAGCATTTAGCTATTGATTTCCATTTTGTTCGTGAACAGGTTGCTTCTGGCTATTTTGGTGCGGTATTTACCAACCGATCAACAAGTTGCTGATATTCTTACTAAAGGTCTTGTTTCCCATAAGTTTAAACGTCTTAGAGACAATCTCCACATGCATCCATGTGTCGATTGAGGGGGAGTGTTAGAATATGATTAGTATTATACTCTTACTCTAATACTTATTTATACTGCATAAGAGAGTTGTCCAAATATGCTTCTATTCTTGTACAAAGGACAACTTATAAATACAAAACTCTTACCATGTTTAGGGTAAGCACGATATTTTGTACCAATTCTATCAAGAAGTGACTGGAGGGAGGAGTATCTTCCCTTTGATGATTTCTTGAGCATTAGAGGATGATGCGTTTATGATATCAGTTGCTAAAAGGAATTTCTTTTGGCAGAATCTCTTTTATTATTTTTTTCTTAATATGATAAAATGGATCTCCAAATTGTTTATTTCAAAAGTACCTTCCACCTTCAGTCTAGAAATTGTGCTTCCAATTACCAAGAGAGCAAAGTGAGAAGCTCATAAAAAAAAGTGTTACTTGGTTTATAAGCTAATTATGCGTGAGCTATAATGCAACAAACATTTATATATGAGTAAAAATGGAGAGATTGTTATAAAATGCCTAGTAATTTATGAATCATTACGTATATAGGCGGATCTAGCCTTTTGTTTAACCAAAAATCTGAGTCCTTGGTCATAGCTAAAAGAGAAATTCGGATTACTGATAATCAGGAGACAAAAAATAAAATACTTTTGAGAACAATGGTAGAAGGTAAATAGATAAGTATTTCAATGAATTCTCAATAGTATTCCGTGTCCTTACAAATGATGATACTTTTTCCTTTTATAGATCATTCTAGGTAAAGGAATAAAGCCTCAGCTTTAACGATATAATCATGAGCAATAAATGACATTAAATAAGCCGTTATACAATCATTCCTATTAAATACCAACTTTATAACGTATCAGACATTTAATAATGAATTTGGACTCCTTTCTGTCATCTGATCCTTGCTTTCAATGCCTTCTAATCCGTTGGCTGTAAATAATTTAAATTGGTACGAGACTCGTATCTATACATCGTCTCGTGCCTATTTAAATTCTTCTTCCCGTGGCTGTTTTCACCGTGCCTCTTAGTCAATTGCTGTTCTTTGACCATTCAACTAATCCACGTGTCATGCCACATCATTTTTAATATAAATTCAGTTTTTTTCCAATACAGATAGTCCCCCCACTTTCCAATTTTTTTATCAATTAAATAATTGGGAAGTGGATCTTCATGTAAAAAGAACTTTTGCCACAATTAATGCTCATGACAGTACTAACGTCTCAACAGTCTTTTCCATTTATTGTTCTGTCCATGTGTCATTTTATAATTGATTCCGCTATTCATACCCTTCTTCGAGACTTCTTTGTTCTCACTATTTACGAAGTGATAGCTGCCTTTATTATAGGCTTTTCATCATTATACTTAAAAAGTTGACAGTTCCCAACACATAACTTTGTCTTCCTTTGTCTTCTTCACAAATCTTCAGCACATACTTTCTTCTTAACAATGTCTTCTTCAAACCCTAACCGTAAAAAAGTTCCAATTCTAGATCAGTTCCCCAACGCCCCTGTTAGACACAGAAGAGGTGGAGGAAGTAGGCCTCGAACAGGGTTAGAATCTACGCGAGGCGGTTCCTCTGGTTCTTCTTCAAGGAGTTTTATCCCAAAAACCCCTTCTTCTAAAAGTAGGGAAATTCTTGATACTTATCAAGAACCCTCAGTTGATGATATAGTTCCCGGCGATTTGTCTTTTGAAAGTGACAAAACGTCTCTTCAAAAACAAATTAAAAATTTAGAAAGAGCCGATACTTACCCAACATTAGTAACCGAGCTTACAATCCCCACCATAAGAAGAGATTGTAACTGGAAGGATAGTCTCCGAATGTCAATTCCTTCCCCAAATCAAAGAATTTCCTCTTTTAGAAATGGGTATTCTTCTGTTTACACTTACCCCTTCACTTTAGGTTTTAATCCTCCGATTGACCCAGTTATTCTCGATTTTTGTCGTTTCTTTACCATTTGTTTGGCCCAAATTGGTCCATTGGTGTGGAGAACAGTGGCTTGTTTGAGATATTTATCATCCAAGGCCAATGTCAATTTCACCTTTTCTCATCTCATTCATCTATACCATCCCAACTTAATACGCCATGGGGTTTTCACCTTAACTGCAAGGAGCAAAAAAGTTTTGGTAAACCCTGAGGATGACAAAGATCGTGGATGGTATATCCGTTACGTTGCTGTCCGTACAGTGGATTTGATTGGCGAAACAAATATTCCCTTTCCTGAGAAGTGGAATTTTGAACATAAGTTTCCTCTTGTTTACCGTACCTACTTTTGAGAATTTCAAAAGAATGTTGTTTTTAACCTCGTCCCTTCTTGGTTTTTTGTAGCAACCATGGGAGATGTGGAACCTCTTCCCAACTTTCGTGGTTAGGTAGACTCACTTTTGAAGATTGCTACTAGGGAGCAGAGAACTTGGAAATCAATTTCTTCTTTACATGGCTGGAAAGTCAAAACACATGGTATCCCCCCATTTTTTAAAAAAAAAAATTATTTTACATGTTAAGCACTTTTTCCTCAACTTTAATCATGTATATCCATTCTTTAATCAGGATTTGGCATTAGAGGAATGACAGCTGAAGTAGCTATGGCCATTTGCATGTCTGCGAATGCTGCTCTGGATTTAGATAAGGCTTGAGCCTTGTTGCCTAAAAGAAAAGCTACAAAGGAAAGTTCTGAAGAAGAAGAGGAGGGTACCTCCCTAATTACCAGACCAAGGGCCAGGAGACGAATAATCATTGATAATGAAATTGAAAACACTCCGCTCGTACCTCCACCACCGAGCCTGTTTTGATTCAATCTGATGAGGATGCCGAACCAAGAGAT